GCCCCCCCTTGTGACTACAAGAATAACAAATTTGAGCCTGGAAGTCATGTCAACTTGACTGGTAGCATTTGTCAACAGTCTACCCAAGTAGGGCTGATGTGTAAGACTACAGTGTGTTGGAAAGGGGAAATGTATATGGAGCCTCATGTTGCCTGTATAAGCAGTCATTCCTGGACCAGTCGGTTTGCACTACTCATTGTCCACTAGGTGCTGAGCAGGTACTTGAATGATTAGGCAGATGGTCCAACTCTGGTTAGACTTCCATCAGCCCAGGACTAGAGACCCAGGACCCTAGGCAAGTGAGAGATGAAGAGACCCTGTTACTTCTGAACCTCTTTCCCTTAAAGTGAGATGTTAGCTGGGAAACATTCCCAAGGGCTTGGAAAACCACCTTGAGGGCTTCCAGCAAAATTCAGCCTTTTGGCTGCAGCGAGTCCGTAATTGGTTCTGAAAATAGGACACACCTTGCTAAGGAGACCTAAAGCCACAACATTCCCAAAGGAGTCAATATGAATGACAGTTTGGCTGGGTAGTTCCTGAAAGGGGATGCTTTGATTCAAGGGTTTCTCAAACGTGTAAACTGCCAAAAGCTGAACTCCCTTCTTAGGAATTATGGGTAATCATTACCATTGCTCATGACAACTAGGTCTCTTATTTTAAAACAAGCTACTAACAATTATGCACGGGGGGCGTTGGGGGGGGCGCCTTTCCCCACCTAAGGCCTGAAGCTTCTTGGGGGAGCAGTCCAGCAACGCTTGCGGGCGGGGCTAGGGCCTTGCCTTAGTGCGCCGTCCATTCCGGGGGTGGGGGTGTCACTGAAGAGCTGGAGCTGGGGCCTCAGCAAAAGGTGCGCTGGGCCCTTAATACCTCTGGGGGAGGCGATGGGCGCTCTGGTTTCAGGGGTGGGATCGAGGGCGCTGACCTGGCGCGGCCGGAAGGCGGCGCTAGTGTCAAGGTTTCGGGAAGGCCAGCGGGTCCCGGGAGGGGGCGCCCGATCCCGCTTCTCCAGCCCCGCTTCCCGGGAAGTTTCAAGTTTGAAAGTCCTGCGAGGGCAGCCGCAGCTTCCGGAACCAGCGTGGGGACGACGAGGGGTCGGAGCGGCGCCATGGAGGAGGGGGCGCCGGCGCAGGTGACCTGCGTCCGCAGAGGCCGGGCCGCGGGCGGGGGCCGAGGGCTGAGGGGTGAGCGGCGAGCGCCGGCCGTGCCCCAGGCCCGCCGCGTCACGACGACCCCCGCCCGGCCCGCGCGGGCTCGCGGCCCCGAACGCCAGGGCTAGGCGGTGTCCCTAAGTCAGCCGCGAGGCGACGCCGGGCCTGGCCAGGCCAGCCCCGAAGGTGTCGCGTCCGCCGTCTGGGCCACCTGCGCAGGCCCAAAGTTGTCTAAGACCGGTGCTTTCAAGCGGGACGCCGGGAAAGCCACCGGGGGTGGGTCCCGGGGTGCAGCGGCTGTGGCGCGCACGTGGAGAGGGGTCCCCGGAAGGTCCATCCTTAGCATTCGGTGGGGAGGGGTCCAGCCCTGCGCGGGGGCCGGCCCTCCTGAACCCCCGGGCAGAGGGTTCCGGCCCAGAGTGGCAGGGCCACCGGGGGGTCGGGGTCGGGAGGGACTTGTTACTGAGGAGGGGGAGGTGTCCAAGGCCAGAGCCAATGGGGGTGTGACCTGTGTCTGCAAGATGGAGCCCCAACCCAGGGCACACCGGACCGTGGGGTGTGCTAAGGGCTAAAGTGTCCTAGGCCGAGGCTGCTGCTTGTGACTGCTCCGTGAGTCCCCAGGGCAGCGTCCACCCGCTCCCTCCCCTTCCCTCCGGAGTCCGGCTGCTTGTTCCAGTGGCGGCTTGTGCACATTTTCCTATTTCCTGCAAGCCTCCGCCCAGCAGCGGCCCGGTGACTCAGGGCGCCCGGAGTTGCACCCCCCAGGCCCTGTGGGATCTTTGTTTGCTCTAACCCTCTCACCCGGGGCGGTCATAGGATTTCCTGAGCCTCGCCCTCCAGAGCCTGTCTGGCCACCGGGGCCCAAGGCTGGCCTGGGGTGGGGTCCCTGAGATTGAGGTGGCCAAACCCTTCTGAGGGGCGCTGGAGATGGAGAGGAGACAGGTAAGGTGGGAAAGGCCGGGGGTCTTGCAAGAGCCCGCGGGGGCGTGGGCATGCACACACACATTACCAGTTACTCCGTGTTGAGGTCAGCTTTGGCACTGTTGGGTTTGACATGGCTTCTGAGCTGGAGGCTTTCTGCCTCGCTCCAGCCAGGGGTAAATTCGAAAGAGAATTCCCTGCTTCCCCTCAGCTCCTCTCTGTGCCTCTGTGTTGTCACTTGTGACATTGGGGTGTCGGGGGACCAAGCCCTGATTTCTCCTTACTCATGTGACCGTGGTACACCTCTCAGCAACAAACCCTTTCTTGTCATCTACCCTGGCTCCCGGATACAGAGAAGTCAGCCAGTCGCAACCAGGTTAAGGGAAGGGTGGTTGGCCGCAGACTGGGGCCCAGTCTCTCTTTCTCTCTCTCATTGTAGGATCTTCTGTTCTGGGTTGTGACCATGGACAGTGACTTCACCCTTCTGGGTCTTGGTTTCCTCATGGGTAAAACAGATAATAAGCACATCTACCTGGCGGGGTTGCTGTGAGGTGTCTGGAGTTCCGACTATGGGGCCGAGCAGAACAGCTCCTGTGGGTTTCTGAGACAGAAACTCCTTAGGGACTTTTAAGGGTTCTCTCACTGCCCTGGAATCCATGCCGTGACTCATAGTGACCCCAGAGAACAGGGTAGAACTGCCCTTGTGAGTTTCAGAGACTGTAATGCATTCCATGAGTAGAAAGCCCAGTCCTTCTCCCTCAAAGCTCTGGTGGCTTTGAACTGCTGACCTTGTGGGTCGCAGCCCAACAATAAGCACCATCTAAACCAGGGGTCCTCAAACTACGGCCCACAGGCCACATGGGGCCCGCTGAGGACATTTATCCGGCCCACTGGCTGTTTTTGCCGCCATTGCCTGCCCTGCTTAGCAGCCGACTTGTCCAGCATAGGAATTTGTTCTTAGTTTTTTTTTTAACTATGGTCTGGCTCCAATGGTCTGAGGGACAGTGAACTGGCCCCCTGTTTAAAAAGTTTGAGGACCCCTGATCAAAACATTAGCTATGTTTCCCCCTCACCCTTTTTTCCTTTCTGAAGGTCAGTGGCCAGGAGATTGAGCTAGGGAAGTGGCTTTTCCGGGCCCCTCTGATTTCGGGAATTGAAGTCTGAGGGGCCCTGTAAGGTCGTAGAAGCTTCTCAAACCCATGTCAATTGATCCTAGGTACCATCTTCCCTCCTCTCTTGCCTCTCTCCGTGCCTGGTGGTAGGGGCTGCCTGAGAATAACTTTCTCTGCCTTTCCGCAGCCGCAGCCGGGGACACGCCAGCGGCCCCCGGAGGATGAGAAAGAGCTGATCCGCCGGGCCATCCAAAAGGAGCTGAAGATCAAGGAGGGTGTGGAGAACCTGAGGCGCGTGGCCACAGACAGGCGCCACCAGGGCCACGTGCAGCAGCTGCTGAGGTCCTCCAACCGCCGCCTGGAGCAGCTGCACGGGGAGCTGCAGGAGCTGCACGCCCGCATCCTGCTGCCTAGCCCTGAGCCCAGCCCAGCTGGTGAGTGGGGCTGAGGTGGAAGCAGACCCCTCATGACAGTAGGCACTAGGTTGAGCTGCCTGCTGGGCCTGGTGTGGCCCCAGGCAGGCTCCCTTACCCCTGTGAGCCCCCTCCAGGTGGGTTGCCCCCAGCTGATGGCCCTCAGGAGGAGAGAAGGGGAGCAGAGATTTAGGCTCTGGTGAGGGGCTCATATGCCCACACGCCCTGTGCACAGAACCTGTGGCTTCGGGACCCCAGCCATGGGCGGAGCAACCGAGGGCTCGGCACCTGGAGGCTTTACAGCGGCAGCTGCAGGTGGAGCTGAAAGTCAAGCAGGGTGCTGAGAACATGATCCACACATGTGCCAGCGGCACTCCCAAGGTAAGGCCCCGGGGTGTGAGGGGAGAGGCATGGCTCGCAGACACCAGGAGAGCTGCAGCTCTAGGCCCGATTCTGGTCAGAAAGAGTGACCCAGCCCATGAAGGGGAGCTTCTCTGACTTTTAGGAGAGCCCCAGTTTTCAGTGTGGTGAGGCCAGTTTGGCTCTAAGGCAAGCATCCGGCCTTCAGTCCTCAGTCTGGTAGGGAAGACAAAGCCTTCCGCCTGCTGGGAGCCCAATGGCCTTCTCACAGCAGAGGCCCAGCCCAAGCTTTGATGTTAGGGAGCCTTAGTACCACCCGGACCTGATGGCCCCAGCCCTGATCTGGTCTGATGGGGGTGGGCTGAGGGGAGGGTGCTTGGCCCCTGACCTGGTCTCCCAGGGGAGGCTCCAGTGCCCAGTCTGATGGAGCATATGCCGCGGCCCCCTAGGAAAGGAAGATCCTGGTTGCTGCCCAGCAGATGCTACGGGACAGCCAGCTGAAGGTGTCCTTGCTGCGGATGAAGATTAGCAGCCTGGAGGCTGGCGCGTCCCCTGAGCCAGGTGAGACCTGGAGCAGCTGGCTGGCCGGTGGGGTCAGTGTGCTGGGCGGGCCAGAGCAGGCCAGCATCCGAGCCGGTCCCCTCCTCCCCAGGTCCCGAGCTGCTGGCAGAGGAGCTGCTGCACCGACTGCGGATTGAAGCGGCTGTGGCCGAGGGCGCCAAGAACGTGGTGAAACTGCTTGGCAGCCGGAGGACGCAGGACCGAAAGGCGCTGGCCGAGGTCAGGCCGTGGTCCCCTGCTCCTCCAGCTCCCCTCCAGGGGTTGGCTTATTTCCACACTGGCTCCGTAGTTGGGAGTGGGGTAGACGGGTGGGTACATGAGAAACAGGTCCAGACCCCACAGGGGTGGGGCTCCAGGGCCCTGGCCTGCGGTGCCCACCTTCTGTCCCCTCGGGCAGGCCCAGGCCCAGCTCCAGGAGTCCTCCCAGAAGCTGGACCTCCTGCGGCTGGCTTTGGAGCGGCTCCTGGCAGCACTGCCTCCTGCACACCCGTTGCGTGGCCGTGTGGCCCGGGAGCTGCGGACCGCTGTGCCTGGGCACCCTCCGCCTTCGGGGACCTTTGTGAAGCCCACCACCCTGACAGGTAGCCGGGAGCCCCGGCCCCTTCAGAGCTCGCCCTCTTTTGCGTGATGGGGAAGAACTGGAGAGAGGAGTTCAAACCCTCCACCCTCCTCCCCAACTGACCATGTTTGTAACCTTGGTCAACTACCTTCCCCTCTCTGAAGCTCTGTTTGTCCATCTGTACAACGGGATTAAGGGCACCTATTTCAGAGGGTGGACCCAGGGCCCAGCCCAGATCCACACCACCAGCTTAGCTGATCTTTAATCGGTAACCAGAATATGGTTAAAATGCCAGGGCTGGGGGACTCAGAGCCCCAGGGTCTCGGTTCCCCGTCCTGGGCAGCGTGGACCATTGGAAAAGTCATTCTGTTCCCCAGCCGAGCCGTCTCTTTATAGCAACAGCTGAACTGTAGGGAACAAATCATCCAAGAGCATCAACCGCAAAACCCTGAGCTTCCCCCACATCCCTGGTAGGGGAGAGGGGGCACAGTGGGAACTGAGCAGAGCTAAGAAGTGGGAGGATGGGCTAGATGGGCCAATCAGAAGGTGCTTCTGGGAGGAGGTGGTGCCTTACCCTGGTCTTGAAGGACATGCATGAGTCCTCTAGGTAGACAAGCTGGGGGAGGGAGAGGGGACTGTGTTTTCAAAAAGCCAATTCAGCTCTGGGAGGCCACCCCATAGCCTGACTTCCTGGCTAAACTTCCTATTCCCCATCTCTTCGAGGCCTTCCCACCCTGGGCACCTGCCTTTGTTGATAAAGCCTCTCTGAATGTAGCCCCCAGACCTGGGCTCCCCAAAGGGTGCTCTTGGACCCGGCTCCTGTGCTCGGAATCTCCTGATTCCCACTGCTTCTCAGGGGCTCAGCTGTAATGACCCTAACCAGGAGCCGTCATTGAGAGAGGTGGGGCAGAGCCATGGCTCATCCCTATGGTGGAGATGGGGAGACTGAGGCCCAGGGAGGAAGTGGGACAGGAAGCCAGGTGCCCTGCTCCAAGCCACACCAGGCCCTGAGCCCTGGGCATCTCATGCTGTACTGTGATGGTGTATGGCCTGGATGACGGCCGAGCCTCCTGCCTGGGTGACCGTTGTCCCTGATGCATGGAGGGTACTAGATGACCTGCCCCAAGAATGGCGGGTCAAGTCCAATGTGGGTGGGCCTGGACTCAGAGGTGTCCAGGAGAAGCTGCCATTCCTGAGCACACTGGGGTGGATGGAGGAACAGAGGTGGGTGGCCCCTCACCCGCTCCCCATGCCCCCTCCACCCTCAGGGACACTGCACGTCCACCTCCTGGGCTGCGAGCAGCTGCTGACAGCTGTACCTGGCCGCTCTCCAGCGGCTGCACTGGCGGGGAGCCCCTCTGAGAGCTGGCTTTGGGCCAGGGCCAAGCAGCAGCGTGGTGGGGGCGAGCTGACCAGTGAGTAGGGGGCTGTGGAGAACTGTGGGGTGGCAGGGGGCAGCAAGGACTGCCCTGAGCCCTTGCCTCCGGCCTCGCAGGCGAGGTGCTGGCTGTGCTGAAGGTAGACAACCGTGTGGTGGGCCAGACAGGCTGGGGGCCAGTGGCCAAGCAGTCCTGGGACCAGAGCTTTGTCATCCCCCTGGAGCAGGTAAGGTTGGCCTTGCAGAGGCAGAAGACCGACCGACCCAGTGGGAGCTCGTTCTGCGATCTCCCATCCCTAACCTGGGCCTTCCCGGTTCAGGCCCGTGAGCTGGAGATCGGGGTGCATTGGCGGGACTGGCGGCAGCTGTGTGGCGTGGCCTTCCTGAGGTTGGAGGACTTTCTGGACAATGCCTGTCACCAGCTCTCCCTCAGCCTGGTGCCTCAGGGGCTGCTCTTCACCCAGGTGCTCAGTACCTCCTGCCTTCCGACCTTGCCACCCAGGACCCCCCCACCCCCCTTGAGCTGGAAGAGCCTTTGGGACTGTGACCCGCCATGCCCAGGTGTGGCATTGAAGGTGCAGGAGGAGGTGACCTCCTCGAACGCAGGGTTCCTAACCCCGCTCTGGGGGCAGCAGAGAGCACCGCACAGGAGTCAGGGAACCTGCCTTCCTGGCAGCCCTTGACAAGGGCTCAGTGTCCCCACTGGGACAAAGGAAGACATAGACCCGCCCCCACCCCGAGCCCCTTGGCTGACATTAGGGCTCAGACTGGGCTGTAGGAGGGCGAGGAAGAAGAAGGGTTAGGATGGGGAGGACTGCTGCTAGCCCTGGCCCCGCCCCCACAGGTGACCTTCTGTGACCCCGTCATTGAGCGGAGGCCTCGGCTGCGGAGGCAGAAACGCCTCTTCTCCAAACGCAGAGGTATGGGGCCGGGGAGGGCTGGGCGGAGCCTTCGGGGCGCCCCGGCCTGAGCACCCTCTCATTTGGCCCCCAGGCCAGGACTTCCTGAGGGCCTCCCAGATGAACCTCAGCATGGTGGCCTGGGCTCGCTTGGTCATGAACCTGCTGCCCCCCTGCAGCTCCCCAAGCACCATCAGCCCCCCTAGAGGCTGCGCTCAGACCCCAACCACACCACGGGGCGCCACCTCCCCCATGTCCCCCAGGTGAGGACCCCCCTTGCCCCCAACTGCATGCTTGCCCGTGGCACCCTCCTCTTCCAAGTTCTGTCATGTCTGTCAGTCTGTCTCCCTCCATTGTTCCTCACCGTTTGTCCTGTCCGTCCATCCTGCCAGCCACGTGCCTGTTCCTCCCCACAGTATTTTCCCACCAAGAAAAGCCCCCTTGGGAGAAGAGGCCCCACCCAAGCCCCCGCGCATCTACCTGCCTCGGGAGCCCACCCCTGAGGAGACTCCGGTGTGGGGCAGGCCCGGGGGCTGTGGCGGGGCTATGCGGAGGGGCAG